CAGCTTTCCTGCAGTTGAGTGGAGGCATCAATCCTACAGGGTGTAGGGACCTCATTCACAAGTGAGTTTCCCCACTTGCAGAAGGAACACCCTGCAGAATGCAACCCCCTACTTTCCAAGAGTGTGGAAAGATGATGCAACATCTCCCCTCCTCTTGGTTGTATGCTTAATTAGGGTTGTTTACCCAAATTAAACATTAGCCCTGCCCCATGAACTAATTTGGGACTGGATCTGAGGCACGACATATGGTCTCTTGGTTGGCCCAGGGTGGGTCAGCCTGATTGGGTCCCCCCAGATGGGAGCCATGGAGCTGATCAGGGTTGGAAAATAACTCAGGACTATAACACACAATGGAGGGTGAGCATTACAAGCTGCTTCAGTTCATTTTTTTTTATCTTGCCTTTTAAAAACTGTGATGATATCTCTAATTTACAAGCTACCACTCTTGCCACTTTAGGAAGGCATCTGGGGTCAAATCCTAGGTGATCTTTGCAGTGTGGCCATCAGGGACCTTCTATGTGGTTCAAGAAGAGATATCATGGATGGAAAAGCTACATACAAGGAGATGCTGCAATGGCTTGAGAAGTAGCTACGTCGGCCATTGGATTCCCTGCTTCAAATGTTCTTTGCAGAACGAGCCTTTGGCACATCAGAGGAACAGCAATGCTGTGAAGGTAAGCTAAGGAATCTTTACTGTTTTTTTGCAATGACTTTTAAGACAATGGTGAGCACTTTGGGAACTGAATGGCAAACATGGGCTTTGACACACATATAAGCTTCATGTAAATTGGTCCAAATTTCTCCTTAGCCATAGAGTAACAAACTACATGGTAATATAGAATGTATTACTGCAATGGCTACATTGTAAATATCCAGTCCCCCCCTCCAAAAAAACAGGTACTGCACTAGACCTAATTTTAATAAGCCAAGCATTGTGCAATATAACCTGGAGACTTTTTTTCACATGCCTACCAGACTGGGCAAATGATGGAATCATTTTTTTCAAAGATGAGAAAATGTAGGTGAACTGAGGTTAAACAATTTGCCCAAATCTGTGGGGGTGGGGGAGAAGACAGGAATGAAATCCCTAATAGAATTAATGGTACCCACACATGAGCAGCAAGTAATACACGGATCCTTTAATGGATTATCTTCATGTTTAATGCACAAACTGCGTTAAAATAACACCTTTCATGAACTTTGAATGACAAGCAATGCATTATTTAGTGAGATGAATGTGTGGCAGTTATTTTAATAATTGAAAGTGTAGGGAAGAGGAAGGGAAGTTAACGTCTCAAAATGACTGTGTTATATTTGTGCATGCAAGTACCTCAGCACAAAATGGGAACACAAATACAACAAGCGGGAGATTTTCTGTGAGCATAGCCAAGAGGATATTTAGAATATAAAATACTGCCATCCATTTCTCCCTGTGTATGTTCTGATTTATGAACTGTGGAAAAGAGGGATTGTGCTGGAGCAGCGGGAATGATAAACAGGCTGTGAAGTTGCTTTGCACAAAAGACTTCCAATAAAACCAGTGGTGGCTGGGAGACCCAGGACCTGATAAGTAAGTAGCATGGGATGAAGGCATTGTGCTACCTGGGCAAAAGCAGCTTGCCCAGGATAGCCTCCCCACAAAGCTGGAGATGGACTTGAATGAGAGCTATGAGCTGGGATGCTTCTGACAGAAATCTGAGTTTGGTTGTAGACTCAGGAAGTGGCAAGATCTCTCCTATGTCAAACAATAAGGACATTACCACTAGCCTACCTTTCAGGACTTTTGTAAAGGGCTCTTTGGGCCCTTTGGGAAAGCAAGTGCCACTTTCTACAATATTAAACCATTTGCCTTTCGTTTACCAATAATTATGTTTTTTATGAATAATAATAGGGGTTTGATATCCTTTTGCGAGGATATGATGAACAGCTTACAGAAGTGTCTTAACCGGCAATCATGTCACTTGTCTACATATACTAGCACCTGGGAATAATTATATTGGCAATCGTATTGTCAATATTCTCTGCTTTCCTTGATAATCTATTTTGCAAGTTATGAATCTAATAAGGAGGTCCCTATATGTCACATCCTATTACATTTGTTCCCTAATATCTGCCTAAGATTGCAATCCTATATCCACATACCGGGAAGGATGCCCCTATGTGCTGACTAGGACTTGCTTCAGAGGAGACATGCGTAGGCATGCCTTGTGAACCTGTTTAAACTCCCCTCTTGCTGCTCCTGACATTCACTTTTCATGCTCTGAGGAGACATCTGACAAAGAAGATATATAAGGTATGGCTTAGTGATTGATTTTTAGGAAGCTGGCATCTTACTTTAGAAAGAGCAAAGTTTCATCATTTTTCTTCCTGACATTTGCTTCTTTTTCTTGCAACCTCAGTGGCTGAACCCTGGACATGACCTTTTGTTTTTCACAAGACAAAACATAAAGATGGAGAAATAAAGATATTACCCTTCCCCCCCACTGAAAAGTAACACCTTGTCAGGTGAAGCAACAAATAATCAATTATTTTTTCTTTCTTTTGGAGCATACTAAAACTGTGTTCAAAAGAGCATTTGAGCAATGGATGGAATAACTGGTTATTTTCAGCTTATTAAAATGCTTTTATGATGTGGGGCATCTGAGCAAAAACTGTCATTTTGGTGACAATATTTAGGGATCAGAATGGGCATAGTAACCATGCCAAAAACAAGAACAGAGTAGCTTGTTCAACAACTAACATGGTCTCAGATTTAGCCCAAGACATTTTGCTGAAAACAAACCCCTGTGTTGCAAATCACAGAAATATAAACACAACACGTAGGCTAATAACTGTTAAATCATAATAGAATAATGATATCATTCAAAAGGTAGAAATAAATCTATTTGAGTACATCTATACAATGTAACAGACTAGTGGCGCAGAAAGTCAAGCCATGTGTTCAAGATAGGCGTCAAAGGTCAGTCTCACAATGGTTACTCAAAGGTTTCCACAAAAGACGTGTCAAAAGTCTAAAAAGTAAAGTTTTCTCAAAAGTTTCAATGGAAGACATCCCAAAAGTCTCAAGGACAGTGTTTCTGGAATGATACTACTGTTTCGTGATAGTCTTCATCAGCTGAAAATACAATACAAGCATACAACCAATGAATGATAACATAATTGAGCTACCCGCATACACATTGTATATTAAAACAGAATATTATCTGTTATTATATATTATATAGTTTATCTTCCACAACATGGGTTCATCTCTGTGTTCATTGTAGCAAAATTGTATAACTTACATACTTAAATACTTAAGTCACACATTCCTAAACAATACATCAGTGAAGCACATCCACCCTTTAAATTTGCATAACCCCGAATGTTGCAGGGCAGTTCTTCAGCCACATATTGTTTACCAAAATACACACACTACGGTAAATTTTGCATATAAAAATGCATATATTAGTAAAATAACCTATAAAATGTATTATAATTGCTGAAATTGCCTTGCAAAAATGTGCAAAACAGCATACAAAAATGTTCATATTTGGAAAAATTTGCACTAGAATGTTGATGAATTTTCACGATAACTTTATACAAACTGTGGAGAACTGAATTTCAGACTGGAAAAATGAGAAACTGCGCAAAAACAAAAATTACAGATCTGCCCATCACTACCAGGGCAGTGTTCAAATACTGACTCTTGTAGGTAAATTCTCTTCAATTAAAAGCCACTTCTGGATATCAAGTGGAGTTTAGCATTCCTTTCCATATTAGTAGCTACCAGCAAAAATCTGTTTGCAAACATCTTAACCCAGAATTTTCTGGAATGAAATTTGTCTAGTATCCCAAAATATAGTTCTTTCCCACTGATTTCATGGGTGACTCATGGGAGAACAGATGTGCACATGCTCTTAAAAGGTGGTGGTGACGTGTCAATGACGTCTGCTGTGGCGTGAATTAAATGTAGCATGACATGGCGGTATAGCAATTAAAAAATCCACAGTTCCCCAATGTAATGGATAATGCAGTGTAAAAGGAGCATTAGAAACTGGGACAGAAGTGCTAGCATTACAACCAGGAAAACTAATGCATTAATCCCCATGTCTGATTGCACCCTTGTCCTTCAGAAGACAAGACTAGAACTTATAAGTGGAAATGGCAAAGGAGGCTATTTTGCCTCAACATTCGGAGAAACTTTCCAGCAGTATGTGTTGATAAATGATGGAGCAGACTGCCTTGGAAAGTGGTTGACTTTCCTCCTCTAGAGATAGTTAAGCAATGGGTGAGCCATCATCTGTCGGGGTGCTGAAGCCACAAGACTCTTACACTAGAAGGTTTGACCAAAGTTTCTATAGTTCTTTATTAAGATACATCCCTCATCCTAAAACACACCCTCTGTGTTCCGTGGAACTGTTACCCCAATTCATCATACCATGCCACAAATAATTTCCTGGGGGCAAGTGCCAGGGAATCAACATTGTGCCTTGTTAAGAGAGACTGTTGGATGCTTGCCTGTGTATGAGAAAGGTGTGTTTTTCATACAGACTTTTGCCAAAAAAGAAGAAGATATTTTTTACAAAATATATATCTCTCCCTACTCACAAATCACAGATCTAATGAAGGAACTGGAAGAAATATGAGCAAAATGAGGAGAAAATACTAGCAAACTGAATTTAAAGGACTATTTCTGTGCACCGAAACACACTAGAATGAAGTATTTAAAGGCTCTCCCAGGGTGCTCTCAGGGCCTGCAAAGATTATTGTACAAAAAATCACTGTGACTTCATGAATGGATGAAGTGTTTTCTGTTCAGCAGCCACAGCAAAATTGCACTTCCCACCTGCTTGCTTTCTTCTCTTTCCCCTTGAAGCCCTCAGAAATCCAGATCTCCACTGAGCTGTAGATGACAAGGCCCAGCGGGTTTAGATGTTACCTGTTCATTTTGCTTTCCTTGCTGGCTGGATTTCCAGAGTTGAAGTGACTCAGTACCATTCTTTGCATGTAGGCTGGTGTGTGTGTGTGTGTGTGTGTGTGTGTGTGTGTGTGTAGAGAAAGGAGGCACATAATTTCAGGCATAATGAAAGCTTATTGAGTCGATAGCTGTGTTTTACACACACACACACACACACACACACACACAGCCCCTTAGCGTTATTTTCTCTCTGTGTGTTTTCAAGCAGTTTTGAAGCAAATTTGATTTAGAAATTCATAATCAAATCAGATGGTTGATCAGAGAAAGATGTTGATCTAATGTGCAGTAGCATTACACAGAGACTTTGGATTTAGAAAAAATAAATGTATAGTATGTGCATGTGTGTGCACACACACACACATATACACCGAGTTTGCGATGGGCTCTCTTTCCCCACTTTTACATTATTCGCAACCTGAGCTGGTCTTACTCAGCAGAAAATAAAAATACAATAAGCAAACATTGCTGCACATCAGTGTACAAACACTGCCCAAGCCCACTGGTGGAAACGATTTGAGCTAATTTATAATACATGAATACAATCAATTCTCCTTAGTAATCCTTCACTGTTTTTCACTGCCAAGGGAAATAAATTTGCAGCTTATAAGAGGTCAAGGATCTCCTCCAGAACATCGTATGCAGTTCATAAATCTGCACATGCACGGGGAGAGAACAGTCATTCTGCTGTGCAATGCAGACAGTGGGTCCACCTTTTCCTTGAACATGACACTTTAACAAATAGTGGGATTCTTTGAGCAAGCAGACTGTGACTGGAATAAAATAATCTCCATGTTGGCCTACACCTGTAAGCATATAGGGATACTAACTAACGGCACTGAATGATCCACTAGTTCTCTCCTACTTATCATGATGATGATTTCTAAACCACCCCTCATCTCATAGGATCCCAAGCCAGCATACAGATGGAAGGATTCAAACCAACGTATCCAATAAATTTAAAAATAAACACACAACAGCAACAATCATAAAACCTATTCAGTAGCAGGCAAACAATTAACGATACCTAGACTGACATTCCTACCCCAAATGATCATTGGAAAATCATCAGTGAAGGGACATCTCGATCTCCAAAGGTAGGGGGTTTTGCATCCAGGGTGCCCCCACAGAGAACTCACTGTAAAATGATCCATATCAATTGATGTGACAAGAAGACGTAATGTAAGGCCTGGGATGGCAGATATGGATGGAGATATTTCCTGCTGGCCCACTGACCTCATCTGTTCTAGTATAAGAACCAAATCCTGTAAACAATTGTTGCAGCCTTATCCTTGACGAAGAAGAAGAGGAGTTTGGATTTGATATCCCGCTTTATCACTACCCGAAGGAGTCTCAAAGCGGCTAACATTCTCCTTTCCCTTCCTCCCCCACAACAAACACTCTGTGAGGTGAGTGGGGCTGCGAGTCTTCAAGAAGTGTGACTAGCCCAAGGTCACCCAGCAGCTGCATGTGGAGGAGCGGAGACGCGAACCCGGTTCCCCAGATTACGAGACTACCGCTCTTAACCATTACACCACCACCAGTATAAGCAGGGTCCCCCCCCCGAAATATAGGTGCTGGTACACACCATGCTCCCACCATCCCTCCTGCCACTGCCGCTTTCCCATCAACATTCTTTCACACACAGCCCGCACCTTTCCCGCTTTCTCTGCCGCCACTGCTTCCTGAGACTGCTGGCATGACCTTCCAGAGGAGCTGTGGTGTGACTCTTACAATTGTCAAAGAGCCTTACAGGAAGGTGGGGAAAAAACACAAGGCTATGTTAAAAACATGGTTCTGGGTCATGTCCAATGGCTAATGATGACTGCTAACCATGATGTCAATGCACTGGATGCAGGTGGCACTGCGGTCTAAACCACAGACCCTCTTGGGCTTGCTGATCGGAAGGTTGGCGGTTCGAATCCCCATGGCGGGGTGAGCTCCTGTTGCTGTCCCAGCTTCAGCCAACCTAACAGTTTGAAAGCATGCCAATGCAAGTAGATAAATAGGTACCGCTGCAGCGGGAGGGCAAATGACGTTTCCATGCGCTCTGGTTTCCGTCACAGTGACCTGTTGTGCCAGAAGCAGTTTAGTCGTGCTGGCCACATGACCCGGAAAGATGTCTGTGGACAAATATCGGCTCCCTCAGCCTGAAAGCAAGATGAGCACTGCAACCCCATAGTCGCCTTTGACTGGACTTAACCGTCCCGGGGTCCTTTACCCTTTATGTACCTTTACTGGAGGCTGGGTTGGGAATCTGGAGTTGCTGCCTGGGAATCACAAGATTCCAAGGGAGAGAGAACTGTTGTGCTCATGTCCTGCTTGCTGGTTTTCCGTTGGCATCTTGCTGGTCAATATGAGACCAGGATGCTGGGCTAGATGTTTATCATGGGCTCCTGGAAGGAGAGTTTTTAGTGGGCGGAATATTGTTAAAGAGAATGTAAGCTCCATCTGGTACGCAGGCTGAGACCCTATCTGCCCGCGGACTGTCGCACAGAGTTGTGCATGCTCTAGTTATCTCCTGCTTGGACTATTGCAATGTGCTCTATGTGAGGCTACCTTTGAAGGTGACCCAGAAACTACAACTAATCCAGAATGCGGCAGCTGGAATGGTGACTTGGGGTGGCCGCCGAGACCACATAACACCGGTCTTGAAAGACCTACATTGGCTCCCAGTACGTTTCAGAGCACAATTCAAAGTGCTAGTGCTGACCTTTAAAGCCCTAAATGGCCTTGGTCCAATATACCTTAAGGAGCATCTCCACCCTCATCATTCTGCCTGGACCCTAAGGTCCAGCACTGAGGGCCTTCTGGCGGTTCCCTCACTGCGAGAAGCAAAGCTGCAGGGAACCAGCCAGAGGGCCTTTTCGGTAGTGGCGCCTGCCTTGTGGAATGCCCTCACATCAGATGTCAAAGAGATAAACAACTACCTGACATTTAGAAGACATCTGAAGGATCAGGGAAGTTTTTAATGTGTGACATTTTAATGTATTTTTAATCTTTGTTGCAAGCCGCCCAGAGTGGATGGGGAGACCCAGCCAGATGGGCAGGGTACAAATAATAAATTATTATTATTACTATTATTATTATTATTATTATTATTATTATCATCTGGCTTTTGTTACACAGCCCCATGGTGTTAGCTACTGCTAACCCTTGCATTTTAAAAACAGACACAAGTGGTCCAAACCTACAGGAGGCTTTGACAAGCCCTTTGGGTTGGCGATTCAAACAAATGAAATGTTGTGAGGCATTGAGCCAGGCACTGTGGCTCGTGAACCTGCTCTTCAAAATGAAGACGTGTATATGTGTGTGTGTGTGTGTGAGAGAGAGAGAGAGAGAGAGAAAGAGAAAGAAAGAAAGAAAAAATGAAAAGGTGATGTAAACATTTATGCAAAAGTGACAAGATTTGCTATTGGTACTCCACAGTGTAGCAAGAGGGAAAAGCTGTCTTAGCATCTCTAAGGTATGTGCAAGCAGCACCCTTCACAGAGATACTGGAAATAATGACAGGCTGCTGTTGCTGAATATCAACTAGGAGCAGAAAGGTGATTATATCTATGAAACCTCTATGAGCAGCATGAAGCTGCCAGGGGAAAGATATTAAAATAATAACTGTTTATGGTATCCAAAGGCTGCTGGAAAATTGAAATGGTTTTAAAAGCAGCCAAGAATTACTTGGAGTGTTTAATTTGAGCCTCTATAAGATAACTGGGCAGTGCAAACCATCTTCTTAAAGCTGATTTAATTTCCTGTGCTGGAAATTAGAAGCATGTGACATCCCATTCCCTTTCCTCTTTTACATTGACACAGAACTAGTGTAAAAATTATATGTACCAGAGGCAAGTGATTTCTTACATCCTTCATCCTATTGAAATTCATTTTGTTAGTTTGGGCCCTGTTCTCCAATCTATTAAGGTCATCTAGAATCCTGATTCTATACACAGTGGCATTGCCTACCTCTCCTAGTTTGGTGTCACCTGCAAATTTGATGAACATCCCCTCAATTCAAGCAGTTGACCCAGATATTAAGCAACAATGAGCCCGGGAAAAGAACCCTACTACATCCCACTTGTCACATTTTTTCCAAAAATTTATTTTATATATTTTTATTTTAGTTATTAAATTCGTATACCGCCCTTCATCCAAAGATCTCAGGGTGGTTCACAGCATAAAAATACAGGATGAAAACACAAAATACATAACAAGAATAAGAGCAATAATAAAACCAATAATCCCCACCCACCTCAGCACAATTAAAAGGATGGAGTATGTTAATGAGCCAAAGGCTTGGTTGAAGAGGAACATTTTTTGCCTAGCACCTAAAATATAACCTGTATAACGAAGGTGTCAGGCAAGCCCACCTGGGGAGAGTATTCCACAAACAAGGAGCCACTGCAGAAAATGAGGAGGAAGAGGTCCAATTAGCTGGTCACATTGGTCTCTTTTGGACTTTCAGTGGATAGATCACTACCAATCATGCCTGGGGACAGCTCAGATGAGCACATATTGGTTTGGGTTTTGGGAGCAGGGGATGTTACCCTAATCTTCAGACTGTTAAAGTATGAATCTTGGATAGCTAAAATAGGCCTATGAGATCTGAAGAAGAAGAAGAAGAAGAAGAAGAAGAAGAAGAAGAGGAAGAAGAAGAATGGGAAACTTCTCTGGATTCAATTAAAAAATGAAGTTATTAAACGTGGTGCTAGTAATGGTTGCCTTGGGCCATCATCTCCCTTGAACACCCATGACATTGCTTTTCTGTGACTCTTATGGTGATATGTTCTTTACCTTCCATTCAGCTACGACAGTGAGACGCTGTGATAATCTCTAGGCACAGGCTAGTACAGTTAATGCTTGTAAAAAGTAATGTGTCATGACATTACAGGATGGCAATCAACCAGCCAAAGAGTTCTTTATTGTAAAGTACAGCACATCCTTCTGCCTGAAATACATTTTAACTTTCCTGCCTCTCTTTTTCGGGCACAGTTTGAGACTTTTATTGTAATCAGTTGCTACATGCAGTCAAAACCAATCCCTTGTATCTCTGAATACCGAACTGTTTTTATAGACTTTTTATAGAAAGCTTATGTCGCTTATGGATAAAGAGACCCATAAAGTTGGCTAAGCATGTAATATCCCAGAGTCAGCAATATAGGTTACAGTCTGTAGAACA